GGGGTCCCACCTGGTAGCAGAAGGTGGGGCAGGGGGCTGTGGGGAGGGGGTCCCACCTGGTAGCAGAAGGTGGGGCAGGGGGCTGTGGGGAGGGGTCCCAGGTCCCACCTGGTAGCGGAAGGTGGGCCGCAGCTGGTAGTTGACCATCTCCTGGTGGAAGACGGGGGTGAGGCTGCCCGAGAGGGGGGGCACGATCCAGGCCCAGTCCGCGGGACACCCCCCCCGCGCCCGCCCCTCCGCCGCCAGGTGCTTCACGAACGACTCGGTGGCCGCGTGGTGGTCCACGATGGTCACCTGGGCCACCTGCGGGGACAGGGGGGCGATGGGCACTGGGCCACCCGCAGGGACAGGGGCTGGGGGCTCCGGGAGGGAAGGGTGTCCCCCATGGTGGTGTGGCAGCGGGGGGGCCCTGGGGGTGTCGGGGTCTGTGTGACGTGGTGACGGGGGTCCCGGTGCCGTGGGAGTCCCCCTGGCGTGGCGGTGTGGGGGTCCCGGAGTTGTGGGGGTCTCAGCATCGTGGCAGTGGGAGGTTCCCCGTGACACGGTGGGGGGTGTCACGGAGGTGTGGGGGTCCCCCTGGTGCGGCAGTGGGGGAGTCCCCAGGGCAGGGTCCCAGCAGTGTGGGGGTCCTGACAGGGGGGTTCTGGCACTGGGAGGTGTCCTGGCACTGGGGGGGTCCCAGCACTGGGGGGGTCCCGGCACTGGGGGGGTCCCGGCAGGGGTCCCACCTGGAAGCTGTGCAGCACGGCCACGTTCACCTCCACGGCCGCCCGGTCCTTCCAGAGGGAGGAGCTGGTCCCCGTGTCCAGCCCCATGCGCTGGGCCACCTCCTGTGGGGGGGCAATGGAGGGAGGGGTCACTGGGGGGGTCGGACGGGGGGCTCAGCCGGAGGGCGTCAGCCAGTGGAGTCCTTGTGGGGTCCCCGAGGGGTCCCACGGGAGCTTGGCCCAAGGGTCCAAATGGGGTTCCAGTGGAGGTCCCAGAGGAGATCCTGGAGGGTCCTGGGGTATCCCAGTGGGGGGTCCCAAAGGTTCCCAATGGGTTCCTAGTGGAGTCCTTGGGGTGTCTCAGGGGGTCCCAAGAAGGGTCCCGGTTGGGTGCTGGGGAGTGCCAGGTCCCAGTGAGGTCCCGGGCTGTGCCAGGGGGTCCCAGTCAGGGCCTGGGGGATGGTCCCAGGGTGGTCCTGGGGGGGGTCCCAGTGCAGTCCCGGGGGGGGCTGGGGAGGTTCTGGTGGGGTCCCAGGGGTGCAGGGGGCGCGGGGGTCTCACGGGCAGGATGTTGTAGCGGTGGCGGTCGCAGAGGTTGCGGGAGCCGATCTCGGTGCCCATGTACCAACCGTTGAACGGGGCCGCGGGGAACTCGAGCCCCCCGATCTCCAGCAGCAGGTTGGCCACGGCTGGCAGCGCGTGCCAGCGCAGCCCCAGCTCCGAGAACCACTCCAGCCTGGGGGGGGCACGGGGGGGCTGCAGCCAGACCCTCACGGACCCACGTCTACCCCACGCTGGCCCCACCGTGGGTCCCCAATCTTCACCCCACCTGCACCCCAGTATCCCAGTACCCAGCCAGGGAGGGAGTCAGCAGACCAGTATCCCAGTCAGGGAGAGGATCAGCATCCCAATATCCCAGTGTCCAGCCCGAGAGGAGGTCAGCAAACCAGACTCCCGGTATCCCGTGCAAGGAGACCAGCAGAGCAGTATCCCAGTGACAGAAGGGACCAGAATCGCAGCATACCAGCCCGGGAAGGGGGCAGTATCCCAGTATCCCAGCCCGGGAAGGGGGCAGTATCCCAGTATCCCAGCCCAGGAAGGAGGCAGTATCCCAGTATCCCAGCCAGGGAGGGGGTCAGCAGACCAGTATCCCAGTCAGGGATGGGATCAGCCCCACGACAGCCCCACGTCTCCAGGGGGGGTCCCCAGCCTCCATGCCCCCTCCATCCCCTCTCGTCCCCTCCATTCCCTCTCCAAGAACGACCCCGTTGAATCTCAGCCCGGAGGGGTGTCCCAGGGGGTCCCCTGGCCAGGGGGGCCCCGGGGGGTCGCAGCCCCACTCACGTGGGGTGCTGGAGCGGCACCTCGAGGACCAGCTCCGGGGGGAGCGGGAAGAGCTCGGGGGACTCCTCGGGGCCCTGCAGCAGCAGCGGCAGCACGTCGAAGCGGCCTCCCCCGGGGGTCCAGCCGTGCTGGATGCAGAGCTGGGGGGGGAACAGTGTCAGGGGGGGTCACCAGGCAGGGGAGTCTGGGGACACAGGAACTGGGGGGCGAGATGGAGCGCGAGATGAGGAAGGATGGAGGGGGTATGAGGAGATGGGGGTGGAGGGGGGATGGAGTGAAGATGAAGGGATGAGGGGTGCCCCACCTCGGTGATGTCCACGTTGGCGGGGTCACCCCTGACGGAGCCGTCGGGCTGCCGGTACCCGGCGTAGCGGATCAGCTGCGGGTTCCAGATGCGGAAATCACCCCGTCCCGGTGCCCGCGGCGGGAAGATGGTGATGGCAGACCTGGGGGGATCGGGGGGGCCATCACAGACCCCCTCTGGCAACGGGGGTCGGGGGGGCCGGGAGGGCACTCACCGGATGTTGCCGCGGTTGGTGGCGAACTGGATGTGGGAGCAGAGGAGGCTGAACATCTCCCCCACCCCCGCGCAGTCCCGGGCGTCGAACACCTGCGGGGGGACAGGGTGGTGTGTGCTCGGTGTCCCCACGGGTCGTGGTGGGCGTGGTCCCAGGGGTGGGGTCGCACCTGGAGCTTGTTCCACTGGATGCGGCCGACGCAGCGTGCCGCGTTCCGCCAGGCCTGCTTGGCTCCGAAGGCCAGCTCGGGCTC